GGACATGCAAACAGGTGAGGAACAAGCAGCAGGGAACATCCTTCCATGTAGATTCTTTGTTTCCTGAATCTCAGAGGGACTGACACAATACAAAGGAGGAACAAACACCCCAAGGCACACTCCGCCCCCCCCCCCTTTGCCCACAGCATTCATGGCACCAGAAGCAACAAAGGAACCATTTGTTGAACTCTGGGAGAAGGGGGCTTGACATAAGGGTTTGGTCATAAGACTGCTGAAAGCCTATGGTAAGAAACTTTGCTTGAATCTGATGTAGTTTAAGTTAGGCACCAGTAGCACTGTAATTTCATTTTCTTGTAACCATTTCTGACTTCTATGCCTCATTACTTGTACTCATTTAAAATCTCTCTTTATAGTTAATCAACTTGTTTCATTGTTTTATCTAATCCAGTGTATTTAAATTGAAGCGTTTGGGAAACTCCATTTGGGGTGGCAAGTTGTGTGCATATTTCTGTTAAAGAAATAACAGGCTTTAAATAAGCTTGTATTGTCCAGGAGAGGGCTGGGCAGTGCAGGACATACATTTCTGGGGGAAATCTAAGACTGGGAGTGTGTTGTGGTCACCCTGCACTATAACTGAGGCTGGTAAGAGCCAAAGGTATGGCTGCCTGGCTGCAGCACACACACAGACATAGCTGGAAGTGGTGGAGGCTGTTTGTGAGCAGTCCAGGCTGAAGCTACAGCAGCAAAGCAGATTACAGGGCAGGGGTGACACAGCGGGTATGTCTACACTACGGGATTAATCCGATTTTATATAATTTGAATTTTGGAAACAGATTGTATAAAGTCGAATGTATGCGGCCACACTAAGCACATTAATTCGGCGGTGTGCATCCATGTACCGGGGCTAGCATCGATTTCCGGAGCGTTGCACTGTGGGTAGCTACCGCAAGTATGTCTATTCCCGCAGTCTCCTCCGCCCATTGGAATTCTGGGTTGAGATCCCAATGCCTGATGGGGCCAAAAACATTGTCGCGGGTGGTTCTGGGTATATCCTCCCCCCTCTCCAGGGAAGCAACGGCAGACAACCGTTTTGCGCTTTTTTCCTGGGTGAACAATGCAGACGCCATACCACAGCAAGCATGGAGCCCACTCAGCTCAAGACAACAGTCATACGCTGCTAAATTCGAACTAAACTCGTAGTGTAGACCAGGCCTTACACCGCAAGGGGGACAAAAAGGAAGGTGAAGCAGGAAACCCGCGACGTAGTTGCTACTGTGTGTTTGAAAGGAGTTTAGGGAATAGATACAGTGAGGAACGGAATAAATAATCTTATAGGTTCTACCCAGTAAGAAAACATCTGAGAAATCACCTTCTTTGCTAAATAAAAACTATATGGTTATTTCTACATCACTTTCAGGTTATGGAAATGCACAGGTCAAGCACTAGCAAAAATAATTTTAGGAGGATGTATTGAGTCTGAACATCATCTGTGAGCAGCATAAGAGACAAGAGGAAGAAGGCTGTCTACAGTAACTGCTTTTAGCTCAAAAATGTTTTTAGTAGACAAGCTCCCGGGATCTTTGAAGTTCAGAGATAAATTCAGTCCTTTACAGTTGTTGGAATCAGCTTTGAAGTTTGGATTCAGAGCTGAATTTAAGTTCAGAGGTGTTTGGATCAGAGGTTTTGTTTCATATGCATGTGTAATTTTTAGGTTCAAGTTTTCAGAAGTAGCCTGTGCATTTGTATCCCCAGTTGGCGCACAATTTTAGTCTACACAAACCTCCAGATTTGCACCTCCAATTACCTGATTTCCATGCACTAGTGCCATTGCTATTCATAAACACATGTATATACCAACACAAAAATATTGATCAAGCAAAGCTGCAGGCATGGACCTGGAGGCTTAAGTCTAATTAGGGGGATTGGATTTCACTGCCTGTAAACTAATATTGTAGTTAGGTTTGGACAGGATAATCTCACCAGGTTTTTTTTTTTACATTTATAGCCAATTGAGTTTAAATAATCCATAAACGCAACAGCTAAGTGATCTGAGAGCCCAGACAAGTCAAATATATTGCTGATATTAAGCAATTTAAAAAGTGGAAATTAAATTAAATTTGATGCACAATCGATACACACTATTCAAAGTGATAGCCACAAGCAGATTTAAAACCATATATACACATAGTATTTCAAATAAGTGGATAGGTTTTCTCCAGATGGATTATTGTAACAGTCCATACACAGAACTAACCCAAAACTTGCCTGGTTTGGCACTGAATAGTGAGGAAATGACATTAAAGCTGCACGTGAAACCTTAAGTTCACGTATTTTTTCCTGGCACCAGGCCTTTTCCTGGGTCACGTGGAAAACTTTAGCACTGAGTTTATAAAAGGAAGAGCCACAGCAACCAGTATAGGTAAGGGGGCATAAGCATTTCCAGTCTAAGATCAAATTTTTCAGTTGCTCGTAACTTCCTGTATTTTTCGCATCTGATCTGAAATTTTCCAGACTTGATCTCTGCCCAAAGGTGATTTTCTTTTCATAAGACCTGAGCCAAAATGGTTCAGCTGTTTGTTATAAGGAGAAAGGGAGTGGGGGAAGAGAACTTTCCCCCACCATTATTAAAAATCTCTACCAGTCTTTTTTGAACAGCTCGGTAGCTGAAACAGGTAGGGTTTGCAAGCAGGATCCTGCCATGGAAATACCCCTCACCCAGAGAAAAGGCCTTTGAATGCCGTGGTGAGATCTGGACTTGTTTTGATCCTGGGAAAATTGAATCACAATAAATTTCTTTTGCTAAGCTCATAAAGTGCACCAATAAAGAAGGCACGTTATTCATGTGCTTAGCTGATTTAGCTGCATGGTGAAACGTCTAGTCAAGCATATCATGGCTCCTGCACACCATTTAGAGACAAGGGATGGTTCTCTAGACTGGAACTAGTTTGGGTTCAATTCCCAGATCTGCCATAGTCTTCATGTGTGACGTAAGGCTAGTTGTTTCATTACTTCTTTGCACCCCATCGGTAAAATGGGAACACTACTACCTCCTTTCTCCCATGCTTAATCTATGAAGATTGGAAGTACATTGGGGCAGGAACTCTCTCTTACCATGTGCCTGTGCAGAGTCTAGTACAAGGAGTCCTTGATCATGGTTGGGGCTTCTCAATGCTTCTGGAACCTAAACAATAATTTCTGTGCCTTTGCTAAGGTCTCTAGGAAGGAACACATACTGTTTCTTTAACTCTATAGAAGGAACCCAGGCAGAAAGGAACTGGGGAAAGTTCTAGGCAGAGTTCCAATGTGAAGAGGAGAGATGGAGAGGAGCTGTGGGGATACCACCATTTTCTTATTATAAGCTTCCTTGTTCAGTGTAAAGGGAAAGTGACTCTCTCCCATGACAAAGTCTGGAGTAGGGGTTTTATATTCATCTCCCTGCAACAGATTGCTTAACCAGCCTTCTTTAGTTTTCTCTTCTCAGTTTCCTACCCCCATAGTGAATAAAGCCATTCACAGAGAACTGCCCACCCCCAGCGTTTTAACTGTCCACATGTCCCGTCTGTTGGCTCCTGTAATTGCAAGCAGTCTCATTAGCTTGAGTGGGCTACTCTGGCTGTATTGGTGCTCTTCCTCAGGAGGGTACAAAAGCTCACACTCAGGATGGGGGGGTGCTGTTCTCACAGCTGGAGGCACTGAGCCATTCTTTCAGCCAGTCTCTCTCTCACTCTGCTGGAGTATCTCTGCCACATTCTAGTAACAGTACTGGCACCCCACCAGCACACACACAAAAATAAACAAATCACAAGTCGGACCCTAACAAATCATTTTTTTTAAATGTGTTTTAAGTTTTCATTTTTTAAAAACTCTCTGCCCCTCTATCTCCCCCCCCCCCCCAACATGTGCATGTGACAATGAGTACTGGCAATTTATAGTGAGAAATACCGACTTTGGCCACCAGAGAAATTCAATTGGGGCCTCAACCCAGACACTGACTTTGCACTAGGTGCCCCAAACACGATTAATGGTGAGCTCCCCCCTCCACATCTGCTTTTTGCCCACCGGTCCCATAACAATCCCCCCCACCACACACACACAAACATCTGACCCTTGCTGCCCAGCTCATCTCTGCTCCTTCTGTAGCTGTGCAAGGTCTTCATCCCCTCCTAGGCTTGGGGAGAGAAAGCCAGCTTCAGCAGATCATTGCTGTCTGCTCCCGGGGTGGTGGTGTAGGGACAGAGGGGAGAAGCAGAAAGCAGACCAGCCCATTATTCATAAAGCAGGGAGAGGGGAGCAGAGCCACCCCGAGCTCTCTTTCTGCTCCCTCTTCTCATCCAGCTTTGGCTCTTCCCTCCCCCACCGCTGTTTCCTACAGCAGTTCTGATTGGCTTCTCTTCCCCAGGAGGCAGGGAAGCAGGACAGGCAGAAGGGAAGTCTGGAAACCCAGAGCCTTTCAGCAGTGGCCAAAATCCACCTTACTTGCGGTAAGTTCATGAGAGTGGGCAGCACTGGAGCAGATGTGTTCCCCTGCTAAGGGCCTGATGAGTGCTGCGTTTTAGTCACGGGTATTTTTAGTAAAAGTCACGGGCAGTAAACAAAAATTCATGGCCAGTGACCTGTCCATGACTTACTAAAAAAAAAGCAGTGAATAAAAACCAGGGGCCCCACAGGTGCTGGGGGAGGGCAGCCCGGTTGCTTGGGGGCAGTGTGTGGGGATGGGGGAAAAGAGGAAGAGGAGGTTGCAGGAGCCAGAGATGGGAGTAAGCAGAGGAGGATGGTTTAGGTGCTAGTAAACGGGTGTGGGGTGATGGGAACAAAGTGTGTGTGTGTGGGGGGGGGGGGGGCAGAGGTTGATATGAGTAAGTAGACAGAGGGGTCAAGTGACTCACCAAAGGTCATAAAGGAAGTCTGACCGTAGTGGGGCTAGGTGTTTAGTCCTGACACCCAGGCCCCCTGTTCTAGCCACTATTTTCCATGTTTACAAATGTAAAATAGATACTTGACCAGTCACTTAAATTTAAAATAAAAAAGCAGTCTTCAGCCATCTTCCAAAGATTTTATTTTTAATGCTTTTAAATATTTGTTTTAATACAAGATAAAAATAATATATTAATTAAATCTGGGTTTAATTTTAGAGTCAAAACAATATTTACTTATTTACATTACTGTGCTTCAAACTTCACTGCCACAGGAACTTTCAAACCTTCAAGTAACGTGTGTGTGTGTGAATACTTAACTAAAAGATCTGTGTTTAGTGCAAAGAAACATTTTCCCCAAAAACCTTTAAGTACTAGTTTTTATACACCTTGTTATGCGAAGCACTATACATTAGTGTAGTTTGTAATTCCTCTGTATAATAAGTCACTTACAGTTGAAAGAGGACATTACATTAAGTTTAAAGTAAAGTCACTACTTAAATCATGGGGTTAATACATGAATTCAATATGCTCCATTTTTTAAAAGTTATTTTAAATTCTTATACAACTACCACAACTCTGTTCTGAAAACGTATTTCATGTAGAACTATGTACATTCCATTCATTGTAGCACACTTGTGGCTCAAGCTATGAACATTACCAGAAACTACAAAATGGATAACTGAAAACAGATGTAATATAGTACTGTGCCTTTTAGTGTTCAGAAAGACATTTACAATGAAGGAGAACTATTTTGTAGGTTAATTCCATGTCAACTTTGCCCACAACAAAACACTGTTTCAGTCAAATCATAAAAATCAGACAATCTTTCAAAATCTCTCCATGTCTCAAAGGAACACCAGAAAAATACATGTATATGGATTATTAGTGGTCTACCAATTAATCCTTGACACAAAAAGGCCTTTAGGCAGGTGAGGTAATTCACAGTTCACGTTAGATCATTGCTGGGGTATCTACTAATTACAAACTGCCAACCCTACAAAGCCATGTTGGCTTTATAATTACCATGGGTGAACTTTTTTTTTAAAAAAAAGAATACTAAATTGCTTTGAATAAAGCAACATAAATTATGGCAAAATCCTTCTTGACAAAAATATCTTAATCTTCTCAAATAGAAAAAAATACAGGAAGGAAAGGACTAATAATTCATTATTTTTATTATGTGGTACTTGAAGGCTACAAAAGAACTTCCATTAAACTCAGACAATTCCAAGTAACTTGATTTTGTTGAAGCAATAAGAAATTGTGTAACTAGTAATGAAACAGTATAGCACTGTAGTGTGTAAGTAGTTAATACCGCTGTGCTAATAAAGTTATGCAGACTTTAGGAATGCTGTTTTAAATATTGATTTTTGTTCACCACAGTAAATTCCACTAATACCATCCCCAAGTGTTGTTCTTTTTTGCACCATATGAAAATAATACAGTTAGCCATATGGGAAAACAGATCAAGAATTGCTACACTGAACAATCTACACATTTATAAATTAGCCAAGTTTTGGGGCTTGGGGGGTTAGAAACTTGTGAAAAGGTTTTATTTACCATATTAGCACTGGCAGTTGGGATTTCCAGCTCATTTTCACTGAGCTCTGCTTCTTCTAACATCAAACCACTAATACCAACTGTCCTAGATTTGATGTCATCTCTACAGAAGTGACTTTACTTTGAACATTCGTTTATCTTAGATATTCTATTGGAACATGTTTTCCATATGGTGCATGGAGATTTAATGTGACCTAAAATAGAAAACAAAATCATTTGCCCACTTATTTATAATACAAGGGCTCGGTTCTACATGGCGCTGAGCACATTGGCCCAGATCCAGGGAAGCACTTAAAGCACGAGTAATCTCACTGAAGCTAATGGGTCTACTCATGTGCTTAAAGTTAAGCGTATGCTTCACACCTTGCAAGATCTGGCTCTAAGTCAGTCTGAAAGTCTGAGGACTTGGGGGCCTATTGAAATGTTTCTGCTTATTTGATTTTCTTAGAACTATCAGAACTATCGAGTTGTCCTGTTTTTGCTGGAGGACTCCATAAAAGGAATAGAGGAGTGGAGCGGAAGCTGAGTCCTCAGTTGAAAAGCAGAGGTGTTGAATCTTTGATAAAAAGATTCTCTCCCAAGTCTTTGTCAGGAGTTTGCGTTAAACGGTTTTAAAAAGTACTTGTTTTTTTATTCAGGTTCATTCTCTGGTAGTGTCACAATCCCACTAATTTTCCAGTCCTCAGAGGAAAAAGAATCAAGACCTGATACTTTGAACACAAACAGTTTGCATGTAGCTTTCAGCCTTCTTATGTCACGAGACCGAGAAAGGGCACTTTCCCCTTTGCGTTTCACCTTCACTATATACGCCAAAAATCGAAGCCTGAATTTACACTTTTGCCTCAAGTATTAAGCCAGAGTCCCTCAAGACCTCAACTATTTCAGCCAAGTTAAAAGGGACCATAATCAGTTTGGGGTTTTTGTTTTTGGAGGGCTGGGGGGGGGGGGGGGGAAATCTGTAAATCTGACCCTACTGTTCCAATAATCTCAGGTATTCCTCGTAACTGAAAGATTTAGAGAAATGTTTCTCTATTTGATTCAGTTTATTTACTTTGTGTGTTTGAAAGTCCATTTCTCATCATTTGCACTTCCTGTATAAAGCATTAACCTGATGACCTCACACATGTCCTATTTTGAGGGGGAACTCACGTATGGTTTTACCCCAGGCTCTGCAACAGGGCATCTGCCAGAAAGAGCAGCAGGTAAGATGAACTAGAAGAGGCAGCATGCAGGTGTGTGAGGTCATAAAAGGGGAGGCACAGCAAGCTTGAGCATGTTTAGCATTATTCAGGCCCACCCTTTCTGCTGCAAAAACAAACACCAAGACTTGTTAACAGCAGGGGCACAAAAACCTGTATAAAAACATTTTTAAAAATTCTGTACCTCACTTGACTTTGAAACGAATTGGGGGGAGGGGGGGGGGAAGTCTAATCAAGTTGCCAGTATTGCTTTAAGGGCCAACTCTTGTTTTAAAACTCTGAATAAAAGCACCTGAAATATTTTGTTTTCTCTTTATAGTCAGAAAATCGTTATGAACTACTGCATTTGTATCTATTGGCAGAGATGCCCAACCTCCAAGAAACAGAAGGATTGACAGTCTTAACACCCTGCCCAGTTCCCAGGAAAATCAATCCTGCATGTTACAAATATCCGAAACAGATTCTTAGCAGCCAGAGGATCAGTGTGTGAATACATAAAGCAGTGGTGTAGAGAGCAAATATCGTATTTTCATAAAAATATTCAAAACACAAACAGCAATACTGACTTGACAATACTTTAGATGTAAACAGCACTTGAGAAATAAATAAAGCTGGAGGCAAAATAAAAACCCAAGAATGTTTATGCTTCAAAAACAAAGATTTGAACTTTAAGTATTACACATAAAAATCTTGAGATGTCATTTTAGTTTATGTAAACACTTTTGTGATAAGTTATAGAACTTTTTGCTTTACTAGACATGAGTAAATAAAAGACTGAAAAAGAATTCTACAATTCAGACACAGCAAAGCTGATCAACAGTCTGGAATTACTGTCAGAGTCAACAGCTTTGCAAATTTAGTTGCATTTTTTATTCCTGTTTTCCCTAAAGTATCAAAAACCTCAAAGAATATAAATCTTTACACATTTTGGACACACATTAAAGTGTTAAAGAAATAACACTGTTAAACAATGGCCCAATGAATTACTGGGCACTACAGAAGCAAGTGTGTCCCCATAGCGGGGGATGTTTTATTCCAGAGTACCAGAGAGGAATGTTCAGACTGCCTCTTCCTAGCAGGAAGACAAGGGCAGCAAACAAACATTGTTTATCATAAAAACATAAGTCCTTGGAGATTAAAGAGTCTGTTTTGCAAAGTGTCAGTGCATTTCCCTAGTTTAGGTGCTGGGAGCACTCAGCAGGTTTGGATGCTTTACCATTAGCAGCAGGTTTGTTAAAGAACAGGAATGTTACAGAAATCAAAGTCTGCAGAGCAATGTAACTCACACTAGGTGTGCGCCTGCATTTGGTACAGATACTCTGGGATATGGAATTCATCCCAGGAACAGGAACTAAATAAACTTGCAAACTTTTAAAATAAACATTATGAAGAGCTGGTAATATATTCTCTCCTGAATGACTGTTTCTAATTCCAAGTTTAAAGTATCTTTGTTAAGGCCCATAAATGTAGAGATGGGAGACCATACTAGATTGTTGAGCTTCAAATACCTAACTAAGTCTTGCAAAATTCTACTTGACTGGGTAAATTTGTTGTTGTTGACAGGCAAGTACTGTATGTATTTCAGTTTTCCTATACTCACTGTAAAGTGGGAGTGAACAGTTTGTATCGGGATGGCAAACTGTCATGGAAATTTTTTGAGGCTGACATTTTACTACCTCTTCTCACACATTAGCTATTCTGAAATTATGGGATAGTGAATTAACGTGATGATCACCAACATTTATATATTTGTTGCAATTTGCAACTCTCAAATTACACTACTATTCCCCATTAAATCTGAGTAACTACAGTTAAAGCTACCTTCTTGCACACAAAAATATATGGATAACGGTTTGTAAGATCACTAACAAGTATGGGCCTTGCTTGCACACACTATTTCAGGCTCCAGTTCTAATCACTAGTCTTTCACAAGCAAAATCAGGATCTCTCAAAAAAGTGATAGAAGTTAAACCACTTAAGATACTGTAACTCCTAGTGTTATAAACAAGCAACTTATTTCTAACCACCAGTCTATTTTCATAATTTCTAAGACTAAGTATAAAGCATTTTACTGTCTATACAATTCATCAAAAAACCCTTAGGCATTCAAATATGTTCAACATTTGCTGATACCAGATGGATTGGGACAAAAAAATTAATAAAAGAGATCAACATTAGCACTATTTTTGAAACTTGCTTTTAAACTTTTCCTGAAGGGAAAAAAAAATCACTACATGCATTTCCCCATCTATTTACGAGGCACTACGTTACTTCAAGGTAAATTTAATTGTTCTATTCTTCTAGTGGTTAAAGAGTTGCTCATAAAAAGCATGCATAGGTTTAGGTGAAGTATTTGATAAACCATACAGAAGAGAGAGTAACTATGTGACTCTAAAGCACTAAAGCTACCTCAACTTCATTTTCAAGAGATGTAGCTTTCATTTCTAACCCAACAAGGAACTATCTAAGCGGTAGGACAATGGCATAAACCGTTTACTCTGACCAAATAAGCCCTGTTCAAACATGATCTTAATAGCTGACAACCCCCAAATCAAAAAAAGCAGGCGGTTTCATTTTTGGCATTCTGTATATACACACACAACACATATTGTCCATTATACCTTTTTCAGAATTCTTATTTAAGATTTCTGGGAAACCATTTAGTAAAGAGCTATATTACCTTCCTTATTCTGACAAGCCACTCTTCAGAATCTCATTTTGTAAGTGTACACGCCTCAACGGAAAAAGTTATATTTAATATTATTTTTAAAAGAAAGTCAGTGGCTAACAAATTAGTACTTAGTATTATTTGTACAGGCAAACATTCAAGGTACCAGAGATCATCTGGACCTCAAAATAGCAAGTCTGGTAAAGCATACATTAAAAGTGTAAGTTATTCTCTACCCTAAAGCATTTTTCTAGAATCATGCCAATGGTAATGACGACTTCTCTATTTCAGATTCATAATGATCTATGGGGCAGCCTCTACTTATCCTCCTAGCGTTAGTTTCTACTATTACCTTGTGAAGTATGGAAATCCCAACTTTGTGACTGAGAATCTAAGAAGCAGGGCATGAGACCACAGGGATGGAAACAGTTATTTTCTTATTTTTTCAGCTAGTTCTGTAGAGATTTGTTACGAATACTTCATACTAACTTAGATTAAACTAGGTACTCTTCATCCAATTAACCTTCTCATTATTGTAGGTTTTGAAAAGGGCCAGCAATACTCATTAGGAACTGTACCATTAACATTGCATTCAAAAAAAGAAAACATTGGAAACCAGATTCTCGCTCTCCTACTCTGCTGATATGCTCTGGTATTAGCCAATGTGTGGTAGTACAAAAAGAGTCTTGTGGTGATGTAGAAGGCAATGAAGACATCTATAGAATAATGTTCATGTGCAGCCAAAATGAAGAAGATTCCAAAGAGATTCAGGACCCAGGATAAAGTATGCAAGAAGTTCCAGCTTCTTGGTGTATCTAGCAAAGGACAAAAGTATCAAGTTAAAAGATTCACCTAGAATGTTTCACAAACCAAGGTTCTTAGCAAGTTTACTACACCCACTCCCATCAGACACCTGACATGATCTTACATTTACACAGTAATCCGAAGGACTGAACAAAATAGGGGCCTGATCCGGTACTCATATGCACAGCCCAATTGATTCTTAATAAAGTATGCTGAAGTAAATTATGACTATGAATCACTTCACCCATCATTGAAGTGCAACAAGCACAGGGGTGAAAGGGAGCACCTGTTTAACAGTACATAGAAATATTGCACAGTAGAGCCCTGTGCAGGACTATTCTTTACTCCCGCTCCTGTCATTATGGCAGCGGATCCTGCAGGATCCCAGTCCCGCTGCAGGGCTCCATTACACAGTAACATATGGCATGACTACAAGCAGAATACCTTCTCCAGTGGCAGCTATACAGATATAGGTAGGTCTGGCATACTTTTCTTTAAGAGAAAGAAGTTTCCAGGTGCGCATGTATAACTGATTTTGAAGTAATTCAACTACAATTCCTAGTCAAGCTAGCTCTCTTAATTTGCTGTTTAATGCATTAAAAAAAAAGTCACATTTTGAATTACTAACAATACCTTATAAAGTGACGGATAATTAATATCAGCATCAAGTACTGTGTGAAGACCAGTCAAAAAGCTCGTATCTTTGTAAAGTTTTATTTTCTAAGTACTAGACTCATGTTAACACTATAAGAAGCTTATTGTATGCAGGAAAGAGGGATGAAACACAAAAAGAGTGAGGATCAGATAAGGATAACCTGATGTGAAGGCAACTTCTAAAATAAAATTGAAAACTGAGAAAAGTAATAGAGAAAGGGAAAATATGAGCACGGGTACGGACAGTTGAAGAATGGAAGACCGCTGCTGTACAAGAAAGCAACTTGAACAGCAAGATCACATCTCTATTTAGTTCATTTAAGAGTCTTAAATTAAGAAGATTTTAAAACATGGCAGTGACACAGTAGTTGAAACTGATATGGCACTTCCATTTTCCACCCCCAATCTTCACTTGTTAAAATCTTTTTAGAAAATTGCCTTTGGGGCTGGGGTTACCAAAACCCCACCCAAATGCTTCTGAGCCTGAAGGTGCTATGGAAATCCATTTCATAAGCTCCCATATGGAATGTATGTCCTAGAACTGCTCAGGCTCCCCCCGTAAGCACTTTTACAAGGAGGGCAGGAAGCCTGGTAAGAAGTCTGTTTGGGAGCTTGAAAAGTAGCTAGGTGCATTCTGAAAACCACGTACCCTTCACTTTCCAGTTATAGTCTAAGCAAATCTTATCAAGCACATTCCATGCTAATCTTTTAAGACACCTAGATTCTACAGTGATTGGTCAAAATACTCAGGGACTTAGTTCTTTTTAAGTAACTTCCATCTCCAGCTCAACACTAATCATGAAAGCTTTCAGTCATAAAAGGAGGAGATTTTGAGAATGGAAGAAATAAAAATAGGGAAGGAGTATGCCTCTTAATTACAGTCACTGTCATGTCTCCATAATACTCGTACGTGTTTGGACATTGGCATGGTGTACTTACATTCAGTGACAAAGAAGTTCAGCATAGTCAGGACAACAGTATGGCCACTGAACATGTAGTCTCCACATGTATGTACTCCAGTGAGTGTCATTCCAAAACCACTCCATATTGCAAATGCTCGCTGAAGTTTTGCCCACACGTTGCCATACAACTAAAATTAAAACAGCAACATTAATATTTAAAAGCCATTGCTAAGAATACTTTGTACTATAGTCCAAACATGTCTAATAGAAATTCAGTTGCTGCCTAGCACTATGTATATTTAATTCACATTCCCCGTTTCCATTTTTAACTTTTTACTGCAAATACAGACTATCAGAACAGCCCATGGATTCTATTTTGGCATAACTAGGATCTATAACTATAATTATAGAGGTACACAAAGTACCTCTGATAAGTACTTTCTCTAAATTCTGTGGTTTATTTAATTCATAGCTATAAATGATTCACATAATGGAGCTTCCACACATTCTCTTGAGGATTTATTCCACAGCCTAGTGAGTCAGTCAAAAAGATTTTCCTGCTATTCAGCCTAAATGTTTTTCATAATTTCATCCCTTTATTTTTAGTTATAGTCTTACGCCCTACACAAGCCTTCTCTCTCCTTAGTGTTTCCATCCTTCAAATACTTGGCAGCTGTGTGTCATTTTAGCAGGCTAGATGAGGTATAAATATTTAATTTTCAGTCATTCCTCATAAATCATCCCCTTCAGTCACTCAAATGTGTTCCTCTGATGAATCCTCTCATTTGCATAGAGTACTACCCTGAAAGCCCCAAAATGAATGCAATATTTTAAGTGCTTTCTATCAAAAACCCTATAGAAGTGACTACCAAATTAATGATCCTTGATTTGCACATGAGGGTCAGTATTTAACAAGCAGAAGTTTGCAGCTAACTACATATATGCTTACAATAGGACTATCCTTATCACAATAATTTTCATCTGAGAAGGTTAAACCAAAATCAGAAAAAACAAACATTTAAGAATATTCCTTTACCTTTCCGGAACACTGTAGATGCTGGCCTGGCACAGAGAGTGAGGTAACAAACATTGTAAAGCAACGCAACAAGAACACTGTCCCCATTAAGCTACACAATCTGCGTAAGAGTATAGACCTGGGGAAATAAAAAGGGACGCAAGAGTCGTACAAGAATTCAAATACTTTTGCACATTTGGTTATGAAAATTAAAAGAATTATGAGAGATTTACAGCATTCTTCTCTAACTTATCCCCATGACATGATTTTTAATGGGACAGGGATTTCTTGAACTACAACAATTTAGCCTAACATGGTATTTAGTTTTATTTCTATTTTTCATCTTTCTTTCAAATAGTAATGCTGTTTTATGTACTGGCATCTTACTGAAATAGACATTTTTGAATGAAATTGTGTGTCATGGTGAAAGTGACTGACAGATATTCAGATCACTGCATACAAGGGTTCAGAAGTCAACATGTCTCTGAATATAGTATTTACACCCACAATTTGTCCATAATAAAGTGACAAAAGCCAAGTCTCAGGAATGCCAGCCCTCATTTCACAAGCATATAAAAAAATGTGATTCTTCATCCATGTCTGCTATGCTCTTGGGGTTTTCCCCTCAGACTGAGGTGACATACTCTATCTCCTATTCAGCAAAGGGACAATATGGATACTGTATACAAGAGCGCTTAGAACAACAAATTCTTCTCCTTTGGAACTACAATCTTAAATGAGGTCCTACACACAAGCTGTCCAGTGAACTCTTTAGTGTTGAGATGAAATGTTTCAAAGCACTAACACAAAATGCAGCAATACTAAAATTAATTAGACCCTCCCAAATTTACGATCATTTAATATTGATCTTAAGACAGGCAAGTCAATGATTCCTTTGTCCTGCTCATGATACAAAAAGGAGCAAAGGTGGTTTTTGTCCGCCTTGTCTCTTGGGCACTAGTTAATGTTAAGCTTCTCTAGAAGAGAAAAAAAAGTCAACTCAAATTGTCAATTCTGACCCAACTACAAAGATATTGTTTATTCTACGTGTAAGGTATGTAAAACTATTTTTCTTAGTTCTCTCATTAGAACTAAGTTGCTATTAGCTAGTCATTCAGAGAAGAAGTTTACAAGCTTCTGGAGAAAGCCCTGCAAGAGGACACACTGGAATCCCTGGACTAAAGAGAACAGAACAGTTGGAAGAAATGTTGTGGAGCTAGTCATGTCTGACATGTCACTCATCTCCCAGTCTGGGGACATATACACCCAGTTCCTATAAACAGGCTGGTTATTTAGAAATGGTAGACATTCAGACGGTGGGGCAGAGAGATATACAAGATTGGTTTTCATGGGTTCCCAATTCAACCAACATCGCAAAACAATGTGGCAACAACCACCCCAATGGAAGTAAAGTAGCACAAAATAGTGGTATCCTCCAGGCACAAATAAAGGAAACAAAGGAATTCCTTCCTTTATGGGAAGTGGAAGGAAGAATTGTACCATGGCCTCATCGTGCCATCTTAATGATGTAAATAACAATCGTGTTTAAAGTTGGCTATAGTTATTACGATGGATTTCAGTCACATTCAATCTTTATTAGGTTGCCAACAGATGTTTCTGAATTAAGAGTTCTTTTAATTGAAAGTACTATACCTGTGTCTGTGAAGGAGGAGAACCAGGAGCCAAATGTAGCAGAGAATCACACCACACACTTCAGTCATGGCAAAGGCCCAAGGTATCCTAGGAACACTAAAGCAGAAGGAAAAAGTTAACCTACATAATAGAGCTAACTTTTATGAATATGCATGTTTTAAATTAGGCACCTGAATTAATGGCCTAATTTTCAAAAGGTGTTGAGCACCTGCAGCTCCCACTGAGGTATACGGAAGCTGCAGGTGCTCCGCACTTTTTGAAAATGAAGCCATGTATTTAGGTGACAAAATAAAGATTTAGATGCCTACTAGTGTAAAGTACCTTCACAGGGAGAAAATACCAGGTACTAAAGAGCTCTTTAACCTAGCAGAGAAAGGTGTAACAAGAACTGATCACCGGAAATTAAAGGCAGAAATTCAAATTAGAAATTCAGCCCAAATGTATAATAGTGAGTGAGGGTGACTAACCACTGAAAGAAAATACCAATGCAAGTGATAAATTCTCCATTTTTTAAAATCTTCAAATCAAGATTGGATAGCTTTCTGGAAGATATGCTTTAGTCAAACAAGTTATTGGGCTCAATGCAGGCATAATTGGGTAAAGTTCTATAGCATATCGGAGGTCTGCTTAGATAATCTAATGGTTCCTTCTGCTCTTAAATATATGAATCTACAGGCACCCAAGTTTGAAAGTTTTGGCCACAGTTTCTTTGGTACTACTATCTTGTATTGCATTCCTCTGAAACTGGTAAAAACTAACACTGAAGATTTCCACAGCACAAAGAACTTTATTTTGACAGACTTAGTTAATGCCTTAAGCTCTAGTTCATTTATTTACTCCCCTCACAACCCGTTTTAAAAATGTTTTAGAAGACATTTAAAATGAAACTGATCAAAGGCCAAAACCTATTGTAAAACTCAATGTTTTACATGGATTTCCTACCAGAATTTCTTTACTGATCTTAAGGTGTTAGTAGTTTCTTTATAATGAATTTCCAAAACAATATCACTCATCTTGACACATTAACTTACATCATGTATCACATATATTGTAACTGCAATAAAAAACTAGTCAGCACAAAGTTCTTCAAACACTTCCATTTCAATTTAGTGTTTAAAGCATAATAAATCTCTTCAATGCAGGAGGACAGGACCATGAAACTCATTCTGTGATAAAGGCTAAATTAAATTTGTAATTAGGGTTCATATGCCAGGACTGTAAGATTAGGTTTTAATACACTAACCAAGAGGAAAAATACCCATGCTACCTTTCTCTCAAAACAATGTCCTCTGTAATTTATAAAAGAGGACCTTGTACTGCTTATTGTGCACTCTACTATATTTAAGCACACTGTCAGCTTTTTATTTAATACATGCTACAAGGTCTCCACAGCTTTCTTTACAACTCCTTTTCCTTCCTCACTTCATGCCACTCATTTTCTTTTTTTTAAAAAGTGCATTTTTATCTGCAGTATCATCAGTGTATTCCTGCTTTCGCCCTGACAGACTTTTTGGTATTTCCCCACACTGTTTTCTACCTCATCCTCCTCTTCCCCATAATATCCACCCAATCTCCTATTTCTCCTGTTATATCTGCTTGATCTCTACTCCAACCCCCATATACTCAACCCATCAGCACCATTTGTGTTCCTCACTCCTTGCAACCCCATTCTTATTTTAAAGAGCGGATCAACAGCGCCTGGGGCAATAATTCCCCAGCTTCCTCCTCTCCCAAGAAAGGATGCAGCAGCTTCACAGAGAGGATCATTCACTTGGACCGCAAATATAAATACACCCTGGGTATGGTTGACTAGGTTTTCAAGCCCTGACTTGAGTAACAAAAGATCTTCATTGATGGTAATGGGAGTTTTGCTCAAAGATAGTAGGTTAAATATAGCTCTGATTAATTTAACAGTTTAGTTGAAGTTCATTATTTTCAAAGCATTCAACATTTATTAGTCGGGGGGGGAGGGAGCATGGTGTGTGGCGCATAGTTAGAACCACTGCTCTTTCTGCTCTTCAATTTACCTCTTCCTAGTGTTAGGAAGTTCACATTTATAGCTCTAATAGAATATATTTAGTATAGTTTTCTGAGACTTAAAATTTAGATATATACTAGGATTTTCAGAGAAGCTTAAGTGAGTTAGGTGTCCAATTCCCACTGAATTTCAATAGGAATTAGGCAGCTAAATCCTTACACTCCTTTGAAAATCCCAGTCAAGATGTATGCAGTGGGAGAGAAGTACTAGAAAAAGCTCATTTCTGTCTTCATGCATTCTTACACAAGTCCTCACTCAGATGGCACAATCTTTAGTACGATGTTTATGTACACCTAGAGGAGATAGGAAGGACACACCTATTACATGCAAAAACTTAATCCCTTGGAAAGGGTAGAGAAGCCTAAAATGCCTAGAAATCTCAAAGCTATTCCAGAGTCCTTTCATTATCAAACTTTTTGGTATAAGTTTTAATTTAACATTTACTAAATCATTACTTTGCCCTTATAATACATTGCATATTTACATTAATGAAACATCACCCTCCCGCTCCCCCTCCCCCACAACAAGGTAGGTAAACTGAAGCTTAGAAGTTAAGCAACTTTTCCAAAGTCACAATCAGAGAACAGAGCATGAAATAAAACCAAAGAATACTACCAGTCCTCTGCTCAGTAGAAAATGTGCTTTAGCTAGCTTTTAAAATGTGATATTTTCTTATTATTTTACAAGCACTTAAAACGTACTTAATGCTATATAATATACAGGGATCACAGTCCTGTGCTGTAATATTGTGCTGGAAAATGGGGAGGGTAGAACAGTTTGCATAGTTGGTAAACACCTACGACAATCCCATTTATGTCTCCACAGTAAAATACCCCAGGGCGCTAAAAAGAGCCATGTAGATGTTCAGGCTCAGGCTCTGAAGGGCAGGGAAAGGGGTGGGTTTCAAAGACCGAGCCCAAACATCTACACAGCTATTCTTAGTACCGTAATGCGAGCCCACATCTGCAGACCCAGATTCTAAGATGCACTGCCACATTGTTAGGGGTTTGTTTGGGGGGTGAGGGAGGGAGAGGAGGCGGCGGGTCATGTAGACATACCCCAAGAGTACTGATTGGAGAATCAGAAAGAAAGAAAAAAAAAATGTAGAAAGCTAACAGTAAGCTATTGCTAGCTGCTGAGTAAAACCTCTCCAAGAGAGGCCACTCAAACTTACTCAGTTTCTGTCCTCTTAGTGCCTCATCTGTTGTATATATATATCAATGAATGTTGAGAAGCTACAAAGCATTTTTTTTAAATTAGATTTCAACTACAGAATGATTGTGTATTAATCTCTTTAGCCTTGTTTGTCGAAGTTCCTTTCCCAGGAAGCTGGTACTGCCAGTAATTTGCACTTCGCAATATCATCAGAACAGAAATTGCTACAGATTTCAGCTGAAGCGGTTTCTCTGTCACATGTCCCCTTTGCTACACAAAAGGTAAAAAAGTAATTACTCAGACACTGGCTCTGTTGTAATCCTATGACAATGTTTTGGTTGTTTCTGCTAACATTCTCCACAGTAACAACAAGGAGTCTGGTGGCACCTTAAAGACTAACAGATTTATTTGGGCATAAGCTTTCGTGAGTAAAAACCTCACTTCTTATTCTCCACAGTAGCACCCCCCCACACCCGCCCCAACACTGTGATTACAGCGCTTCTGTCCTAGGAACAGACTCTAGTATCCAGTCTTGTCATGACTGTCATTCTCCCTTCTTTGGTCATCACTTGCTGAGTAATGTCTAAATTAATGACAGGCTGTGCGGCCTTTATTCACATGATTAGTCCTAATGACTTTGATGAGACGACCTGTGAAGTAGAGACTACTTTAATGAATAAAGGCTGCAGGACTGAGCCCCTCCTGATACAGGTCATGTCTTTTTTCTGTGCACTTTATAAGTCTGTAGTGTAGTGTGTGAGAATTACTTGGAATGGAGCATTTATTCCACATTAAACTCACACGGTTGAGCAGAAACTAAGTAGCTCTAGCAGTTGCTCTCTCTGGATTTAAAGGAAACATTTACAGCATGGATGTCATTCCTCTATCACTAAGGCTGTGAGTTTGTCATGGAAGTCACGGATTCTGTGACTTTCCGTGACCTCTGTGACTTCTGCAGCGGCCAGTGCGCCTGGCTCAGGAGCAGCTCAGGGAGCCCTTGTGCCGGGGCACCGGCCACTGCTGGGGCAGTCTCGGGCCACCGCGCCCCTACCCCCCCGCAGCAGAATTTGGGTGTGGGAGGGGGTTGGGCCACTGGACAGGGTGAGGCAGGCTCTGGGCGGTGCTTACCTGGGAGGGGCTCCCCAGAAGCAGCGACACACCCCCTCACTCAGCTGCTAGGCGGAGGCGTGGCCAGGAAGCTCTGTGGGTTGCCTCCGCCCAGAGCGCTGGCTTTGCAGCTCCCATTGGCCAGGAATCTCGGCCAATGGGTGCTGCGGGGGCAGTGCCTACAGGCAGAGGCAGCGTGCAGAGCTGAGCAAGGGGGGGGTGTCGCCGCTTCCAAGGAGACCCCCAGGTAAGTGCCGCCCAGAGCCTGCCTCACCCTGTCACAGTGCCCCAAGCCCCTCTCCCCCCCTCCTCACCCCAAGCACCACCACACCTGGACCGTGTGCTGCGGCCCCATCCCCCAAGCAGCCAGGCCACCCTCCGCCAGCACCTGCAGGCCCCCAGGCAATGCTCCTCCCCTCCCAATTTTATTCACTGGTATTTTTAGTAAAATGCACAGGTCATGGGTTGTGAATGTGTGTGTACTGCCCGTGACTTGTCTGTAACTTTTACTAAAAATACCTATGACTAAAACGTAGCCTTACCTATAATTAATGGCTCTCTCACTAGCACTCAGTCCACCAAGTATTACAGATAATCAAGTATAACAAACCCCTCTTTGCATCTACTTCAGACATTCAGCTATCATGGGGATGTTGGGGCTAGGAGGAGTATTGAGAGAAATAAAACTAATAAATAAGCCTTCTCTAAAAACTTCCTATACTATTCAAAACAAGTGGGACTTTATGGTAGTACTCATGTTTAGGAAATGTGTGGGCTGTTTATCAACAGCCACTTACCACAGCCATTTACCAAATGCAGAATTAGAATATGCAGACACATCCAGGCATAGAGCAATTATCTCTCTTGGCTAAAGGTGGAAAATGTATGACAGCTGATTGCTACAGTATGTTAATGAAACTCCAGTTAGTGATTTATACATCAGCAGACCTGACATTCCTCATTACATCTGGCTGAGCAGTCAGCCACAAACAAAATAATTTCCAATGTAAACAATCTCTTTGAAACTTCCCTCAGCTCCTTTCAAATTCCAAGCCTAATTGTATTATTATACTTCATTATTCTGAAGTACTCCAGTCTCTACCTAGTGATTTTGTTTAAACTGGTATAGGAAGTTGCAGAAATAAATTGTATATTAACAACACAGTTTAAGCACTTTAGCTATCACAACTCTCTATTTGGTCTTTACTGATAGCAGATGAAGAGACAGACTCCTCCACATTTGCAACTTTAAGTCTTTAGTTTGCAGTTTTAACTACGAACTTTATCCAGTTCAAAGGGTGACTGAGAATAAGAGATTATTATTTGGTTACAATAAAGCTTTTTCCCACTACAGTTGCTTGGTTTTGCAGGAAGCAGTTCCGTTTCTTCATACCCAGGAAGAAAAAAAGTGAGCTCTTAGTATCAAACACAAATAAACTGAACGTGGTATTAGCACTTAGATTGCTTTATTTCTCCAGCATGCCAGTTCATCAGTTGTCAAGGACTGTCACATCATTTTTCAGCATGCTATACACATTGCATAGCTACTTCAAAGATTATCAAAAGTGACAGAAGATTGAATGGAAGAAAATGTTTTAAAAGGCAAAGTTTGCCATTTACTTTAGTGCACTAAAGTGGTTGTAATCTTGCTCAAGTGCTGCATGCCTCAAAGAACGAGATTCAAAGAGCAAATTCTGCAATTCTGAAAAACGAGTTGCACATATACTGAATGATATCAAGTTGTTATCTGTGTCCCTAGAACATTGGTAATGTTTGGCCCAACCTCTTTAAAGAGATTTTAAAAAAAGGCCTGTCAGTCCTTCTCACAATCCATATCACTGTGTTCCAGTAACACCCACAATATGCTGATACTGTTCAAACACAAAGGAATGTACAATTCCTACCTCAAAGCACTTACAGTCTAAAAATACAATCTCTTCTACTACCCCAGTTCAGTGCCTTGCTTCTTCTATGAACTCTTGTTCTGCTCCCAACTCTGCAACACGAATTTGTCATCAAATGCAATTTATTTACAGTCCTATTTGGTGAAGCACCAGCACAAACTAAATCAAACTTTACAGCTAGTACATGGAATGGAAGAAAGGGCAGCACAGCAGGAAAAAGCAACACAATAAGTCACCTGAAAGTGAAGCATCCAAAAGGGAATAGATTTTTAAAACATGACTGAAGCAGTACTCAGGTGGAAGGAGAACTTATACGTCAGGTTAATGGAAGCGCTATCTGCTATATGATAAATTACAACAACTAGTGTCACTTATGAGATTTCAATGAACATGTGAGAAGGGAGTTATGATTCTTTAAAATCAATTTACTTGGAGTGTGGGAGGAAGGGACAGTCAAGTCAGGTAGTGTACACACCTTTTAAGTAACCATTTAGCTAAGGAAGTAGAACTAATCACAGCAGTTTTCCTTTAAAATCCAATTGTATAGTAGTAACAGCAGCACTTTAAGTCAACTGCTCAATTTCTTTCTTCACAAAAGCCTTTTAAAATGATATTTCTTTAAACTCTTGAGAATTGGAGTACATTACAATCTAGACCGTGGGCGAATACATTCAGAAATGTGATATCCCAATGCCAGGTGTTAGATATTGAAAGATTATTATGAAATATATTGAAATTCAAAATATCATCTATAAAGGTGTAAGAATTGTGTGATTTAACACCATCATTCTGTTTCTGAACAAGTACTTACCTGTCTAGAAATATGTCTGGTAGCGGTGGATATGTCTGCATGTCAGGTACGCGCTCATGTACTATAACCATGACAAATGATGTAAAGCCAAACACTATGAAAACATATATACAACTTAAGACTGTTTTCCAGTACTCAGGGTCCAGTCTTCGCATAGGATGTTTGTTTTTTCCATTTGTGTATTGATACTGATCAGCATTCAGGTCAGTAACTGGTCCACAGTCCCGTGGTACTTCACCATTACAAAACCAATCCGTATCTTGAAGGGAGCCAACGGTAGGAGACATTGTGCCAATGGGACTATCGCTGTTGTAACCCAACTCTTCTAAAACCTCAATATGCTGTTTCTGCAATTTGCGTATCGACAACATTAGTCTTTTGATATCCCCCAGGACTTTGATTTCCAAAGGAGGAGATCGCAAATCATATTCAGTCAGTGTCAATAATGTAATTCCATCCAGTCTGTGTCTATTGCACAAAACGTCCACATACTCGCAGAAGCCTTCTTCTTTTAGCCATTTGGCTACGTTCTTAGTAGTCCAACGTCGGATGCAAAGCTGGTTGTTGCCTGCCATTGTCTTACTCTCTACCTGCCAATAAAATACATTAATTATATACTGCAGAGAGATAAGGCTCAAATGTCCAAAAAATATTCCCAAAGAATTAATATACACACATTGAGCACACTGTGTGCTCAATTACTTGAATAAGAAAAGGTGCTATTAAAATTATTTCCCCTCAGTATTAGGATGTAGATGCACTATTAAATGAATAGTAACGGTCTAACACTTATTTAGAATTACTTTATAATATTCACTGATCCAATTTACTATTTTGGATTCTTATGGATTTTTTAGATTCATTTCCTGAATCCTTGAGGTATTTTGTACAATTCTAGCTATTCAAAAAAGTTAACTAAAAATCACAGACAATAGACTATACTGAGCTACTGCTAACCAGAACATAATTATTCTTTAATCCATTCTGTTTTCTAAAGCATAATTTAGTTCTTACATAAGGGTATCAGTATGTTTGGTTTGTTCTTCAATGATAGAAACTTTTCTGTTTAGATACAGATTTCATCACCACACTCTTCTGCAGTGTGCAATTTGTAAGCCAGGTAAAAATATAGGCAGACGCCATGCAAACTTCCCTATGCAACTTTACCATTGACTCTTCAGTCCTGACCTAGAATACATTGCTATTTAGGACTTAATCTCTCTCCTTAAGACAGTGCTGTGTCTAGTCATGTTCTGCTTGTGATGTATAGAAATAGAAAATAGGATGAGATCAGCTGGTTTTAATTTATGCCCTTTTTAGAGTTGAACATAGATATCCTAAAATATATACTACTGTTAACCCACTGCACTATCTAAGCTACTTTTCTTTTTCATTGTCTGCTACCTTACTCCCTATAACTCAGAGTTCCCCCAATGCCTGACATCACTGATTGAGACCCACTCCAGCTCAGTTTCTCCACAGAGATTCCAGATCACTCCTATTCCACAATATTGTTCTTGATATTTACTCCTCTCCCTTAAACCGGATTGAAATAGCAGTCTCATTTCAACATTTTATGGATCAGGAATGGGTATTTTTCCCTTTTGGCAACACAACATCCTGTTCAGAAAACTATTTTCTGTCCAGCTATGAATTGTCATTTCCAAGAAGAAACACACAATCCTTGGAGCCTCCTGTTGCAACATAAGGAGAGCTTCTGCATCAACATATTTCACTGGTTCATGACAAGATATGTACTGTGATTATATACTATATAGGGCATAAGAGCAACAAGGAGAAGGCTAAATACCTATAATGCCTAAGATACCTCATGCTAATATTCTGCATGTTCAGAGTGTAAGCATATTTTAATTTATCCATTTCAACTACAGTAACATCAAAGTGACAGACACTTCAAAATGTTTTACATTGCTGCCACAATCATTTAACCTGTATTTTACTTTGAAACAAGCATTACATCTAGCTCCAAAAGAATCCAAATCTTTTAAAAAATGATGCAGTAGTAGTGTCAATGATATTACATAAAAGAAAATAAGATTTATGCTGTTGGGAAAATTTCCAATATTCCCAGACATCTTTTTGGACTGTGGAATATTACTCCAAGGAACAGGTAGATGTCCCAATACTTCAGCCATGTAGAACTAATTTGTCAACCACCACAAAAGTTTTCTGTAACGAATAATTCTGTATTGGCTGACTAGGTGAGCAACTGTTATATTAATAAAAGTACAGATGATGGGATAACATAGTAAAAGCACTCCCAGAAGTTGAAATATTTATTTTTGAAGGCCAGTATAGTAAATCACATAACTAATTTAAAAAGTTATGGAAAAGAAATTCAGAGAGATGCTCCCAGAAAAAGCTAACATATTTTAAAAAAAGCTTATCAAAGACTTAAGAACTCTCAGAATTAGTACCATGCCTTTTTCATTTCAGAACACACTTATGTGTACACTTTGCATTTGAGGGATTTGTATATTACATAGTCCAATGCTGAACAAAACAGAAGTAACAGGTGCCATTAATGAGTAAGCAAGATCTATAAAAGTGGGGAAATTAATTCAAATAACTCAATCATGGAGAAACCCAAGAGATACATATTAAGCTATATAAATACATATATTAATACAACCATATGATCAGAAGGACTATTCTTTGACCAGGTGTCGCATCTGAAATTACTCATGGGTTAGGTTGCAAGTTGACAGTATCTCTAACACAAAGGTTTAATATCACAAATAAAACGCTGTATATAGAGCTAATACCTACACAAACCTTATTAAAAATATATTGATTCAAATGATGGCCAAGGCATCCATAATGCATTGCTGGGAGTGTTTTTGCCATGCAATTTGACTCCCTATATGCAGGGGTAGAACAATGGGATTCGTGCACTGTATACCTTTTATACACCATTTTGAAGACTGATATCACCGAATAATGAGGCTGATCTGCATATTGATTAATTCAAACAGGTGAGCTATGATTCTGCTTTCCTTTATCAGTGGTAGATGTGTTAGTTTATCTAATGTTCCTAAACCTACAATTTTTTTACAGTAAGAGAGCTAACTTTACACAGCCTAATGTACATATAACTTTTTCAAATTTAAACTTATTTGAGTAAAGTTATATACAAAGGTAATTGTAAAAAGGAATCATTCCAGTTGCTGACCGCTCCCTTACTGCCTTTGTTCAATATAAAGAAGTTGGAATATTTTCCATTCAGAATAACCTTACTTTTTCTATTCAATACACAACTACTAGCAGCAGGCTGCATTGTGTGGATCACTAATTCCAAATGAACTATTACAGGATTTTTTGTTTTGTACCAAAGCATCTTGCGTTAACACCTATAAATTGTTTTTCTATCAGTCACTAACATGTGCTTCTGATTTTTCCTGCTCAGAAATAGAGGCAATACAAGGGCGGGGGAGGGGGGGGGGGAGAGACTGAAATAGCTGCTACCTCTTGTAACGGATACTGTACACTGCCAAAGGTTTTGAGAAACAGTAAACTTAGACTCACCAAGAATTCACTCAAAAATCCACTGATTTTCCTTATCACAAAGCAATTCCTCAGGATGAACTCAGAAAATGTTGCGGAATCCCAGAGAACTCAGTTAACATTTTTTAATCAAGAATTATAACACTAGACAGAACTCTCCCTCTGACATTGCAGGGCAAATATCACCCCCTCAAACTCCATATAATAAGAGTGATTTAATAATGCTGAGCAAGCACATACCAATACATCAAAGGTCAGTACTGGCAGGGTTGTACTTCGGAAAGGTCTACATCTAAAGTACGATGCAACTGATAGTTGCTGCTTACTAATTTCAAATGCATAGGAGAGGAGGAAAAACTGAGGTAGGGCATAGGTAGATTTAAAAAACTATAAGAGAAACAAACCCTTATGTGATGGTGTGGAATAATTCCTCCTCCCCCCCCCCCCCCTACAGCTTTTACCAGTTTCAATAGTTGCAAGTTAATTTTGGTTCAGTTATCTTTCCGAGTCTGTTTGAACTAAAAAGGCTCCTTCCCCCCTTTTTATGTATTATTCATATAAAGCCATTTTAATGTGCACAATAAAAATAGCTCTGCTAATGTAATATAACCTACTGTGTATTAAATACATTAAGTACTATGTGTAGTTAATGAATTCAACTAGTTCAATTCAATAAGTAATTCACTGAAAGTTAATAAGCCAATTGCATATTAAAAAGCAATCTCTTCTAATCTATGAATAAAAATTAGGTGCAAGAGAATGAGCTCTACTAGTTCTAAAGTCTTGAAGGAATGGCAACCAGAAAAACAAAAGTCTATTCAATTCATTAACTACACAGAGTACTTCATCTGTATAACACAAGTTGATTTTAAATGCAAATCATGTTTTGATAAACTCTCTTATATGCCTAGCATAGGCAACGGGCAGTTTTATATAAGTTATTTCTGTAGATTTTTAATTTAATTCCAAATTCCAAACACAGATTGACACAAATGAGGAGTAAAAAACCACAAGTAAATAAGAAACGCATCATACACCATTTTTTAACAAAATGTAAAAAAATAATCTGAATAAATTTATGTTAAGCAACTATATTGCTTAAATAAATGTGTTGAGATATAGCCTATCCTCCTAGTTAGCAAAAAGTACCACCAAATTTAGTGTAAAGGCTTTTTAGTTGCAGATCAACATATTTTAATGGCTACCAAGAAATGAGACTAAAAAAATACAAATGCAAGTGTAAATATCAATTATTTAAATCTGGGGTTGGCAACGTTCGGCACGCGGCTCGCCAGGGTAAGAACCCTGGCGGGCCGGGCCAGTTTTATTTACCTGCCGACGTGGCAGGTTCGGCCGATCGCGGCCCCCACTGGCCGCGGTTCGCTGTCCCGGGCCAATGGGGGCCCTTCTTTCCCCCACTATAGTGGATAGTACTTTTCTAATTAATGGGGAATCCTTCAAGGGAACTCCTTAACAGATTGGCTAGACTATAGGAGGCATCTAAAGAAATTCCTATTGTTTAACTGCACAGAATATGGACCTCCTTGGCAACTTTTATTCTGATCCCTCTAACTCTGAAGAGTGAAACAGATTTCACTTATCAAAGTAAATTTTATATTAACAGTGAAAATTGGCATATAAAAGTGACAAATCGGAAAGACTGAAGTCATCTAGATAACTAGACTTGTACTTTGTAGGAAATGGTACAGAAAGGTATTTACTTTCCTTCTACATTGCCCGTTTTATCTCTGAAGCCAAATATCTAATTCCACTATGAGTAATACCTGGCAAGCAAATAACTTAAATGTCAACAGGTGGAATATGTTTTCCCCTGACATCAGCAATGTCTGCAACTAGCTTCTTAGTTGCTTATGGGCTACAGAGGCCTTCCATTGAGTCAGATTATCAACAGTCATTCTCTCCTTTTGCATGCCACTTCCCCCTTTCCTCCCAATTATTCAATTAAGGACATGTACAACTGTTGAACTGTGATTAAAGCTTAAGGTCTATGTGCAAAAAAAGAATCTATTGAGTGTTACTATTCTGTGAAAATACACAGTTCTCT